TGTAGGCCTGGGTTTAAATCTGTCTCACAAACGGATTTTCGCTATACGTCTTTTTGTGATTGTTCGGTGCACACGTTAGGGTCGTCAAATAATAATTACAAGTGGTCAAAAACTTAACTAAAAATATGTAATGTAGGCCTACATACTTCTCTATTTCCTCCCTATGCTGTAAATAAAACATGTGATTGGAATTTCTCCCATTTGTTTTGACTTTCTGTTTAAATTTTGTTGTTATTTAGTCACCAACATGGTAAGTTATAAGGTCGTTGTTAATTTTTTTTATTAATTTATTGTGCTTATTTTTAAGCATATTTTAATTTATAAAGGGGTTCTGCACATCTTCAGGAAAATATCTTTCCAGCCTATGCGTAGATTAACCCTGTGATGCATGTATGCGGATTGTTGGTGGCCTGTAGGCTGATAAAAAAGGTTTTTCACCAAACTATGATGTTTTTAGCCGTTTAATTGGTGGCTGAAAGTAACGTTTTGCTGTCATCGTCATTTGGGGACCGAGGCTGAATTGACAAAAGAATACTTTTCTTTTAGTTTTAAAGAATTTTGCTATAATTTGTGAACTTTTTCACAAAAAATTATACAATTATTTTATTTATGTAAATATAAAATACGTGGTAAAATAGAGCATCTATTTTTTTAAACATCATAATTTGAGCTATGATTTAAAACGTGCCAAACATAAATTGTATCTCTGCGTTTGTATTAACGTTCAATCATAAAAAAAATCAAAAGTGGATTTTTATCAATATTTTTCCAAATTAATCAAAACTACAAACTGAGAATGTTAGTTTGTGTAAAAAAAAGTTGAAAGCACTTTTAAATTAAGTTTGTTTCATCACCAACCCAAAGGTACATACATTTTCTCACTAATTTAAGAAGTAATTTTACAATTATACCAGAAAATATTAGCTGAATTCCGTTTTCCAATACACGTTTTACCCCATCAATCACGATAATAAGTTAAAATAGCTGTTTATGTGTTAAATAACCAAAAAACTACTACGTATTATGTTTCAACATTTAATGTTTAAAATAAATGTGATCATTCTTTAAAATTTTTCATATTATGGATATACCAGTCACCTTATCCATCATAAAAAAAGTCATTTATATGTAAGACTTTTCTATAGAGGGATTACCAGAAGGCCAAAAAGACTCGATCACGAAATCACGTTCAACTTCTGTCACTGCCCTTCCTACACGTAATTAGCATATGTTTGGTCCTAGTCCCGGATCAGACTGGATTATCTATTAGAATAACAAAGCTACCGAGAATCTAAACTGTCCGTCATCACAGTATTCGTCTTAGTTCTTGTTTTATTTCTTTGATAAGACGATGGAAGAATTATTAATTGTTCTCGACTAAAATATTCTTTAACTTTTTTTCATACAGTAATATTCGGAAAATATTTTAGCTATGAATAACCAATTTTTGTATGAAGATTATTTGTGTGCTTCACTGACCTTTACTTTTTGTCTGTGATGTCCAGGACTAATCAAAACACACACACACACACCCACACACACACACATTCATAAACACATATACAAAACACGCAATCGTCCATGGAATTTAAGACCAACGTTTCACGGAAATCAAAAGGAAATTTCCGCTTCCTCAGGGTTGGATAAGACTTGTTTTCCCGCACGCGGGTCGCACGCCTTCACGACTGACATGACGGATTTTCGTCCAATCGAAAAATTTTATACACTTAACACAGTTTTGTTAGGAAATAGTTTCATTGCTATGATAAATTCGTGTACAATTCATCATTGTACATGATAAGCAGCAGTAGATATTAATTATTTTTACCATTTTTTTTTGAAATTATACTTAGGCCTACACATAAACTAAGAGTGCATAAAGCATTTCATGAAGGTTTAAAACTAAAACAAATATAGTCATATTGTTGACTTAAAACTTGTATGGATGGCATACGTGAGTATCAGTTGTAAACAATGAAAAAATGATATTATGTATTTATTAGGCCTGTCTTTGGGCTTTTTGTCTACGTAAGCGTAGACAAATTCAACAAACATTGAACGAACAACTGTTTGAAGTCCCTTAAAAGGTAGTGATTACCTTTGTCCAAAAGCATTGGTTTGTCTAATGTTCAATTCAATAATAATTTTCTATAAAATTATTTTATAAACCTTATTTTATATAAAAATATGGTCCAAAAACATGGTTTTGACGACATTGCTTAGCCCCGTGGCCATTAGAATTATTACACTATACATATTTTTTATTGTGTAGTTTTGGTAAACTAGACTTTTAATAAAATGCATTAAGTGTGTCAAGGGTATTATATAAGGGTTAAGTTACGTTAATGCACTACGTAGCAGTTTAGCATAATTAAGTGTGTATTACACTGTCACCTTCAATTAAATCAGGTAATTCATCCAATAATTGGTGGTTTGTTCACTATTCTTGCAAATTACTACACTTTATTGCAACTACAAGCAGTAATTTAGCGTAATATGAATGCACTCAAAATAATTTTCATTTCATGTAATATGCCCATTAGTAGATAGTTTTTTTAGTCCATTAGTTGATGAAAGTAATTGTTTAAGCAGCCTTGACACTCTTATGAGTAATTAGAACGTTTTATCTATTTATTGTAATGATTACAATATACAGGGTGAATAAGAAGTCAAGACCCCCCATCGAATATTTTTCTAAGTAAATATGCAGAGGTATCCTTATATAATTGCCAAGACAAATATTAGATATGGATTCTTGACTTTGTATTCACCCTTATAATTTAGCAAAAATCGCTAGTGATGTGAAACGGTGGCCAAATTATCAAGTGTACAAGGATGGATTTTATAGGTTCGCACACATAATATACAGTAAAATATACTTGCGAATATGATAGAAAAGTTAACTTAAGAACGCAATATGCTTCGAAACTTACAACTAAAGTCTACTAGTAGTAATTAAAGGTAATTATGATATTTTTATTCTTATTTTCTAGATATTGGTGGCATCTTTTACCTTGCATTTGCATGTCTATGTGGGCCACAGAGGCCTTTGTTTGGAACGTATACAGCAAATCAAGGGGTGAGCTGGTACAGTACAAGGGTGAACAGTTTTGATAAAGAATAGTGAGAGATTCCAGGATTTAAACCCTAAACATCGCTGCCTTGGGCCCGAAGTTCGCAGAGTTACAGACTCACCAACGTACTACATTAAATTAATATTCAAGCACAGATAGTAACGTGGACACTTTGTTACTTAACGTTAGTGTTGTAGCAAGTGTGTTCAAATGGCCGTGAATGTTATTTGACAAATTATTTCATGACCAATCCCACAATATTTATTAATTTATTTAGAATTTTTCCCAAATTGGGATAAAGTATTTTTCCAAACGCTGTACATTCTAACCATTTACATTAAACAATTTAATATAAAAATTAGGTTACTATTTTATTTAATTCAAAAGTCTAGACACATACTCGGATTCTCCAGACGAATGTGGAATGACAAGCATCAAGTAAGGCACATCAGCTGGTTTGTATGTCAGGTGTGATATACACTGTTATACAGCACGTGGGGTGTGGGCGCTCCTCAACATATTCTGGCCACACGACGCCGGAATATAAAGCAAGGAAGACCCGCAAATCCGCAACCCATCCGCAATCAGGCTGCAATCTGTTTGCTATCCAATTTACTCGCTTCTCTCCTACTTATACGTCCCTTAACATAGTTACATTTTATTTATTCGTGCGATTATTATAATTTTTTAACATAATTTATTAAGGTAAATTTGAAGTCATGTAAATGATGTAGTTATAAGCACATCAAAATTACCAACTGTATCTTGATTAATTTTCAAAATATTAATATTTCAAAAGTATAAAGGTATGTTTTTAAGCTCTGCTCACCCAATTTGAACACAACTTAGGATAAAAACATCAACATGCATTCCTGGATTAAAATTCAATTTGAATAACGTTAGTGGATTGATTGTATTTAATTATTTCAAAGTTTTAGAAATTCTGTCTTGTATTAGCATTGTTTGTAAGAAAATTTTGAATTATATTAACGTTCTTTACTCTTAGAATACAAAATCGATAGTCAGAAAGTCATTGGTTTATCCAAATATTTTACTCAATAAATTCAATCACGACATACCATAATTTAAATGAAAAATATTTAGCATAAGTTACACGAAATTATAGAGGACTTATCTTAATTTATATGTTTTTCAATAGCAATAAGTATGCTGGTTGTTCTTCCTGTGCTTATCAACGTGACAAGAGTACTTGGGAGAAAAATTTGGATTTCTAAATCTGATTCAAAAACTAGTTACACAATTCCTCTGGGTTATTCAGGAAAATCATACTTTAATCGTACTTATTGCTTATTTCTGTGAATGTCTTTTGTGTATTTGACATCAAAACCTAATTATAACCAATTGTATTACCCAGCTTACGGTTTTCTCAAAAGTTTGTGTTCCTTATTTGCTTTCCATATAGATGTACTGTCCAATTACATTTTTATATTAATCAGCTTAGTTTTTTTTTTATTTTATGTTTTTTTTCTTGAACTGTAGTTAAAACCTATTCCATATTTTATGTTTAAAATAATTTGTATACACACACCTCAATTTTATCACTATCAAACCTAACAATTACCAACAATTAAGTTCAAAGATATAGCTTGTCTCTTGTGTTGAATCTGAAGAGAAGTACAGATAAAAAAAAACTCACATGAAAAAAGAGACAATTTTTGTTGACATCAGTGCACTCTAACGTCACAACCAACAAAACCTAATGATAACAGATCTTACACAATACAACAAACACTTCTACATCACTATCCAATGTCAAAGTTTACTACATCCAAACACGTGTTTAGGAGAACAAGTGGTTGGACAGCGATCAAGGACAAGTTGTGGTCAAAGAGGCCGAGTCGTACAATTAGGGATGCATGATTTATCGTCTGTAACCAGACGACCCAATTGTAACGGCTACTTAGCATGATAGCTGCGTGGGCAGTGCGCCACTGTGACTCTGCGCAGGCGCCGGCACTGGGCATGCGCGTCGTGGGGAGTCGTTCTTTTGAACTGATCATTTGGAAGATCAACTCCTTTGGAGTCGTTCTTGGGAACAGTAAAAAATGTTATGTTTGTGTTTAAAAATTGTATTTTTCTGTGTTTGGTAGTGTACGGTATACAGGAATTATGAATTATGGAATTACAAATACATAATTTTAAGGGGAAGGTGCCTAAACTTCTCATTTTTTTATGTCATGCTGGTGGTTGAACACGTATCTATAGCGCCGCAGTCCAAAGGCTAAGCAGTAGCACATGAAGAAATATCAATTAGTTTTGTTGTTATGTGTAAATTAATGTATCATTAGCATTGACTGAAAATTTTAAAATAGACATTTCATTCTCTAAAATCTCATCCCTGTTGTTTGATACGAGTTTCATATTTGTGAAGTTTTGGTTCACTAGTGTCAGGTAAATGTATCTCTCTTATTTTTTGTCTTATTTTACGCTTTCTGCTTATTTCTTAGTCCATTATACATGCAGGCAAGCAAAGATTTACACATTGATAGTTTTAAGTTAGCCTAAAGTAGTTTTAAACTAGAGTGAAACTAGAAACACTTGTTATCAACAGAATGTTCTCAAAATATGTGTAATATTTAATTTTAATACGTAAATAAAACACAATAAAGGACAAAATATTATCGTGCAAATAAGATCACTAAGAATAAATATATTACATATCTAACTCTCTATTGCTAACAAAACGATTGTATCTCAAAGAACTGTTATTAAATTGACAATTAGCTAATGTTAAACGTATAAATTTCTTATATAGTGTAAATATACTAGAGCACGAATTTTCGTAATGCAAACTCAAGTCGAAATCCCTCTAATCATCAATGACGAATTAATATAAAACAATTCCTTTATTTGGTAATTTGGCACCCACTTCCAACTTAAGTTTTACCTATCCACAATAATTAAAGTTAAAACTATTCCTACACCAGCGATACGGTTAGTTCATTATTGTATATCCTAATGTGACCTTATTCATAAGGAAGTTTAAAAAAAAGTGACTGTGTATCGTAATTTGATATTCGTAGGTACTATGCAATATTAATTTTTGAAGAAGCGATGGAAAGCCCTAGACATCGATACGCCAAATGTCAGCAAGGAGGGAAGGACCCAAATAAACCCTATCGTGGCTTCCGGCAGTAAACAATGATTTATCTAGTAAATCTGAATGTGAAACGAAGCAAATTCCTCAGTACCGGTCGTTGAGCTAGGTTTTATGAAAACAAAACAGTCTCCCTCTACAGATATTGTGAAAGGAAGGAATCCACTTCGGAAACTAAAGAATATTCGTTTTAGTGTTCAAACATAAGTACCTTAAGCTTTGAAGATAGAAGACGTTACCCTAATTTTTTTCAGAATAGTTGGAATTTAATTACTACGAAAGCTCAAAATATCAATCTTTTGAAAATTTTGTTCAGTATTTGGTGAAGCTTTCGATTGTAGCCTAGGCTTTATGACGTGGTTTAGGAAAATGGTGTTTGGCAAGATCCATACCCGAGTCACTATGCTATAAAGCACGAGCTCTAACAACTAAACTAGATTGGTCCCATAGTGGTGCAACATTCGTTATGAATACACAGTTAAATATTAAAAATAAACAAAGAAAAGCATTTTAAAATGCTATTTTCCTTTTAAGAGTATCATCTTAAATATACCTAGCTTAACATTAATTTTTCTCTACTTTTTTTAGAGATCAAAATAAATAAAACGCAACAACCAAGTTAGAAAAACTAAGTCGTGTTGATGTAATCTCTAAAAATAGTTTCCAGCTTTTACTGTTTGGTAAGTTTTTAGTAAGTTTAATAATTTCGTCAATAATAATTGTGTTAGTGTATATTATACTATCGATATGTCAAACTATTGACAAAAATGCAGCAATAAGCTACATCCGATGAAATCAATCAATACATAATTTCGATACATGTGAGTACTTACAATCGAAGTTTCCAACAGCTGACGTTTTGGGAGTAAAAACGCTTTTTACTCCCTAGGGAGTAAAGAAGCTAATTTACACCCACAATGCATTTATTAAATACGGCTGTTTTTGCTTAAATATGATGACAAATACATTTAAAACAATACAAATCTCATTTTTATCAACTATAGAGGACCTCAACACGACTAACATCATCACTAAGAATAAATGTGTACCAACTTGTGGCAAACTCGTGAATCCTTCTTGGAAACATTAGGAATCAGAAACAAAAGTATTCGTCGAAGGGTGGATTTACTTAACGTATCTGAGGCGTCGCAGAATCAATAGTGCAGAGGCATTAGGCGAGATTTACGTGGAGCTTGTGATTTAACCGAACCTCCACAAGTCTCTGATTCCGAACGGGTATTTCTCCTTCTCACACAATCCTTGAGGTGATTGTACAAAATATTCTTAATTCCTCATGTAAATAGTACCAATGTGTTTGACTGTGCAATATTTTCTATGACATAGTTATTTACAAAATTTATCTTTAGCCCTACATAAGTCGTACAATTTAGAACGAGTATTTCTCCTTTTCACATAATCCTTGAAGTGATAGTAGAAAATATTCTTGATTTGCATTAGATATCGGCTGTATAAAGCTTGAATAGTGGTCTCGCCATATAATTCAATACCGAATGTAATATGCGAGATTGAGCATAGTGAAACATGAATAAAATATCCAATGAGCAAAATTTGAAAACGTACGCAACATAGACCAAAGGAAATTTTAATTTTTAATTCTTCTTGGAGGGACCAATCAATAGTCCTAGACATTTTGAATAGTATTCTTGCATCAGGGACGTTGTCTTCAGTCAATACTACTTCATGAATCACTCCGTCCCCAAGGCAAAGTAAGGACTAGGAAATTACTACTCTAAATCTACTACAGTAGCTATCTAAACACAGTATTATCCCCGTATCGATTACAAGGTAGATACCTAGCCAGATGGCGCTGACGGACTGCCTTCCCACGTGCTCATAATTCCCGGCATTCCTGTGGTCAGCTGACTCCAAGGTCACCAGACAATGCCCAGATACCTTCATCCCACGTCACACATGTGTTCACCACGTCAAGTACCGCAATCACAGCTGGGTCCCAGCTGTTTAACGAGACGAGTTTAAGACTGTATTGTTGGAAATTAACGCTTGTTTTATTGGGCGGGAGAATGGAGTGGTTTTTGGCGGGAGATTTGTAGCCTGGTGTACTACGATGGTTTATTATAGCAGCATGGATTGTACGTGAATTGTTTATGGACTTCAAAGTTGCTTATAAGTGTGGTAAGGTGTGATTATGTAATGTAGATTTCCTTAAGAAATAGTTTGATATTTTATACTTCCTTACTGTTGGGATGCGTTTATTTTTATCCCTAAACACAGATATGAAACTACTAATGATGTAGATAGGTACATTTTAATCTAAGAAAAGCTCTTGGACTACTATGGGAACCCCGTCAGGTTAGGATAAAAATTAAGCAATAAGCTGTTCCAAACAAAAGTTTGCATTTTCCTCAAGAGCTTTCCCTAGACATTTACTTATATGTTAGTTTTGCACGCTTGAAAACCGTCAACCTATGCAATCGATGCAAAAATTTGCATTTTAACTCCAAAACTTTACCTTGACATTTACTAATACGTTAGTTTCGTACAGATAGTAAATTATTTTAGTTTTGGGTACATTTCTGATATTTCTTACTGTAAGTTATGTATAATCCTCATTAAAAAAAGGCATTCTCATTTTGTTAAAAAATAAAATTAAACTGTTTGAACCAAGTGGAGTACGTAGCCTAGTTATGAGAACAAAACGATGAACCATATTCGTATCATTGTACTCCTTAGGGGTACATTACTGTTCTGTCCTACATTCAACTTAACTCAATGCTTATTACCATCAAATATTGCGCAAATATATTATAAACAATATATAGTGATATTGTAGCATGTAGACCTGTTCACGCCTAAAGTAATTTGTCCATAACTGTTACTTTAAAAAAGATATGTATAAAAATTGTCCAATTATAATGTAGTCTTTTGTGAATATTTTATGGGCTGTGGATGCCACAAATTTATAATTTGTATCACATATTGTATGGTTGTAGTTTGAGTGATTACGTGAGGATATTTGTCCTAGGCCTTGTGTATATTTAAGGTCTTATTAGTTTCTGATATCATGCTGGTTTATTTGTCCTTGTATTGACACAATGTAATTTTTCACTCCTAAACTTTGCATTGAACTATAAAAAATGCTTTAATTTAATTTAAACTTCTACAACAGTAATCGGGCATGCTATATTTTGGAAAAGATAAATTAACAGCCTCAATCTTATTAATAAATAAGTTGAACTTGCTGTATAGTGTGTATTCAATATTTCAATATTCTATTAGTAAATATGATAGATTACACAAGATGTGCTTTTATAAAAATAGTGTTTTAACTCGAATTTAAATTCATAGAGCGATATATTACGGTAAATGGCTGCATTGGCTGCCTTACCTTACCAACAATGGCCCATTTATAAACATATATCAAACCCCATAAGAGATTTATCTAAATACTCTCTCAATGCTGTAATTTGGAGTTAACCCAGTTTAGTTTTCTGGGCGGAAACAAAAATTATAAAGTCTATGGATGTGCAAGAAAATATTGTCCATAGTAGAATTTTACATCCATTTTCTTACGAATTAACTTCCTAATTTACCTTAACATATCGTAATTTGTCTTAAAATGTGATATTCAATGTAATACATATCATTTTATTATGACTGTTGTTTATTATTCCATTTATGTTTATTCATTTATCGGGAGTTTCATTTTATTGGATCCATTACTATATAATATATAGTACAATTATTATATATTCATAGTTAATTGAGTTATTCATAAAAAGGTGCCATCAACTACTAAGAAACATTCATCGAATGTGTTTTACATGTGATTGACAGGACCTTTTTCATGTGTGACTGAAAACTTGCTATTATCATATTCATTGGTCTTCCCCTTAGGCCACCTAGGGACTTAACTAATTATAATGACTAACTAACTAATTATATTGGG